CCCAATGATTCCCTCTGACAAATCTTCCTTGTTCACCTTCTGAAGAAGCTTCCTCTATCTATTCTCCTGTATTTCTCTCGTCGTCGCAGAAACTCACCGACAGTCTCCCTACAAAGTCCTTGACGATCCTTACTAGATCTCAAACCAATCAAAGCTTCTATCTCCAACAAACCATCTTGTCGCCATCAAAGGTCAATTCAAGGCATGCTTTTTTGAATTACATCCTTTTGGCTAATGATGATTCAAAAGTATTGCATTGGAAGGTGGACAATGTTGTAGAGAAGGAGAATGAAAAAGTGGAGATCTTTTACGACGTCATATTAATTAATAAAATTAGAGTTCCACTAGTAAAAGAGAAATGATTCTTCCAATCCCACAATTTTCTACCACAAACAAGTGAAATGAATTGACTCCATAGGCAAGACATATGAGGAAAGAGATTTGCTTTTGTCATAATTGCTCATGAAAATTTTAGCACGAGAAACCCGCAAATTCTTTTGAAACCCGCAAATTCTTTGAAATTTTCTCGTGCAAGTAATTATGAAAATAATGGGGTGCCTTGTAGGTTACATAGAGTCTCTCCCCTTCAATCTAATTACATCAATAAGCTCTTATAAATAGGGCCAACTCTCCCATCATATTCTCAACTCATTTCTTTTCTTATTCTTCTCAAACTCCTCCCAAACCAACATATCATACTCACGCTCAAACAACAAGGCCATAACCGAAGAGAAGAAACGTGTAGATGCGAAAGAAAGGAAACTACAATGACACAGATTGGAAAGAAGAACATCTTCAACAATGTGAAGATAATGAAATAATAAACGAGTACCTCACGGGGATCCGAACACAACGAGACTTCAAGCTGGCCGGAGGTTCGTTTTTTGTGTGTCATAGAGGAGTATTTGACCACACCGTCTCATCTGTGAGCGAGACGATGCATACCACTCTAACTACAGTGTGATCAACAACATAGCCAACCACAAGAACATCTTAGACGAATAAGAGAGACAATTTTGAGTTTGATGAGAGCATTTCATTTCGAGTAGCGGATCAGCTCAAAGATATGAATGATGGTTATTATAATAATGTAGACTGTAGAGACGAGAATGAAGAGGAGTATGAAGAAGAGGAGGATGAAGAGGAAGAGGAGAACAAGAAGGATAAGGATCTAAGTTGCATGGAAACGGGCACAGGTATTGGTACGGGTGCGGATACGAGTAGGGGACACATCAAAACTATAAAATGTAGGGTACGGGGACACGACTACATATATATATTGAATTAATAATGTACATGAGATAATTTTTTCCAGCTTCATGTTTCATTAGAATTAAAATTCCGATCACATTCTTGAGTTTCTTTTATCATATTGATTATCGTGAATTGTAAACTACTCATTTTTTTACTAGACATCTAAATGACCCATTAACTATATAGTTGTGATCTTAGGTATGGACTGAAACGAACTCGACCCATATCTCATTAGTTTGAAACGACGGATGTGAAGTGTAAGCTCTACTTCCAAGAAGTCTTTGACAAGTGTTTTAAATTTACACATATATTGTATAATTGAGTACATGTTATAATAAATGCATGCATATATTCAAGAAGTGTCCATGAAGTTTCAGTATGGGGAAGTGTCGGGTACGTGTCCGGTATGGGTACGTGTCCGGTACGGGTACGTGTCCGGTACGGGTACGGCTTCATTATAGAAGTACCCGGGTAACATAGATAAGGATTGAGAGATATTCTCAGGGAGCTTGGTGATGGCGGTTCTTCAATTTATTGGTGACGCTGGGTGTTGACGTTTCCTTATGATGATGATTGTTCTTTTCTTTCATTAGGTTTAGTTAGGTTCCCCCTTGTTTTAGTTTGCTACTTTGGTTATAATTAGTACTTAGTTTGTGCCTTTGTTTACGTTTGCTTAGCTTTTATGTATGCATGGATGGTTGTTAGTTTCTTTTCTTAATACAATATATAACTTCTATATATGAATTATTATCTTCTAATTAGCTCCGTGTTGTGTTTTTCTTCCTTGTCTTGAGTTTTTCTTTTATGCTTGTGTTTGTCTCACATCAGTTCTTATTCCAAACTGGATCCTTTAGCATTGACATATATCTTGAATTAAAATACAGATTTTTGCCAAATGTAGTTGAGTATAATTTTATAATGAGCAAATTGGATTCCTACTGCAGAATGAATCTTTCTTCGAATGTCTAAGTTTTTTTTATCAAAGTTAAATGGAATAGAGAGAATCCAAATTCTTAAATATAAGCACAACATAAATTGATAGATTAAGGTCTTTTTTTCTGAAAAAAATGTTAAAATGGGTTTTTCGTATCACTAGGAGTTATGAAGGTGGATAAGATATTATACTCCAGAGGGAATCACTTATTCTAGAAAAGATGAGAACAATATTAGCACTCTGTTTCTATGCAATCAAAGTTCTCCTCAAGAAAAGGGGGATTCAGTAGAACAAATAGAAGTGTAGTTGTTATTCAGATGTATCCAATTCTTCCCTTTTCCTTTTTGTATACTCAAACTAATGTAACTTTTCTCAGGATGTCTTTGTAGGGTCATATGACATTGATTATTTGTAGAAGATTCAGTTGATAAACTCCCTCTCTTTGAGAGAAAATCTCATTTGGTAGAAAACAATGATAATATGAATTTAACTCCTTTCATATTTACATTTAGTATTTGGATGGTTGTCAACTTAAATCACGATCATTCATTATTTTTCGAATGGTAGTGGTTCTTCTATTTCTGGTGCGAGGATGAAGACATATTTATAATGGCTTTGTCTTTAATATAATTTTCTTAAAAAATATTGGACTTGGTATATATAGATCATGAAACACATATCTATAACGTCCTACTTATTTTACTACATAGCTAATTTTATATGATCTTGTTTCCTGATATACACAATATTTATTTAAATATAAGATACAATCGTGGTCAACATATATAATAGGGCATAAACCGCTGTCGCTGGCGGGTGTCACCATGGAAAACACCGCCAATATCTTGGGTGTTTAGTGGAACAAATAAAGTTCAGGGGGTCTCGTGCGAAACGCCCTAAAGCTTTGGCGAGCTTTATGAAATTTACTCTTATTTTAATATGAGCTATGATTGTGCCAATATTTATGGTAGGACATAGACTATCGTCACCAGTAGGAGTCATC